TCAACCTGAGGTGGGGCCAGAGTGAAGCCATTGTGAAAGTCGGAGTCTCACTCATATTCGGTCTTTCCGTTCACAGACAAGTCTACCTCGACTTGAGAATGGGGATGACTTTAAACACCACATGTGGAAATGTCCTTAAGACAACGAGAACATTACCTGCAAATAGAAGACGTAAAAGTTTTTTTGCTCTTTTTAAGATCAATTTTACAACAAAGTAGTATGCACACAATACCAAATAAACCAGTATTCTATTATTAGGACGGAAATATCATTGCTACATACCACCTCTCTTTCACATTGTACCGATATATAATGGATTCCAAGTCCTATATATGACACCAATCTTCCTGTGCAGTTGACAACTCATTTTCTAAAAGTACACTAAAGCCTTTGAAAGCGGGTAATGGTATATGCAGAAACATGCCAGAGAAGAACGCAATATTTCCCACTAATAGAGAGTGGAGGACAAAGGATAAGACTATGTTCTGGCAAAGGTGGAGAACTTGTGAGACCAAAAGGAACGAACAGGCAGTCCCATCAAGTTCTGGCTCCCACAGGTTTGACTATCTATTTCCATTCTTCCAGAACGATAGACCATACTTTGTTTCACCTGTGTGTATCCGGTCCCCACTCCCCCTCCCCCATAACAAGGAGCAAACTTGTTTCTGACTCTTTTAGCATGGATAACTTCTAATTATTAGAATGCCTTTCATCTTATCCAGGAGTTTATTGACATGTTGCTCAAAAATAAGTACCAATAAAAGAGAAAGTGACATAACTATTATCTGATACCGTTTAGCATTGTTTCAACACTGTCCTACAATTTCCTGCACAAATCCGTCTTTTTGTTGAAATAGAAAGGTCCTTCTTTATCTTCTGTTGGCTCTTTCATCGATGGAGATCTGATTTAATCACAGGATACCCAGGTGGTTTTCTTCTCTGGGCTTTTGCTTTAGATACAGGGAACCCTGAACCATCCCACCTTAAGAAGGTTCAACGAGTTTTCCCCCAAAGATCTCTATCTCTTCCCTGGATTGTTATCTCCCCTAGTCTGGAGACACTGCTTTCGCTGCATGGCTGAAAATCAAACTGTCATTTAAATTCCGCTGGCCTTGCTTAGGCGGTGGCATTCTGAACACAGATCGACTACAGGAAAGAATGTTTGGCCACTGGGTCAGCCTCCGATGAACTGATCACGAGTTTGCTTGAGACGAAAGGGATTGATGGTCTTGTCATGGCTGGAATTATTGATGGAGACCTGAGTTACCCAAGCTGACCCTTTGGCCTTCAAATCTTGTGTCACATGGAAAGCCCCTCCCAGACTCATCCTTCTTCGTGGCAGTCGGGAGTCTCTGTTTGACTATCTGATATGCAGGGACTCTTACAAGAGAGAGAGTGTATACTCAGAAAGAGAATGTTTACCATGTGCACCAAATACTATGATGGGAACTCCCATGTTATCTGTAACCCAGGGTCAGGTCTTGAGATAACAAGAGACATGTTAAAACCATTCACATCCAGAATGAAAGTATTTAACAAGGCATCAAATTGTGACCGTTGTGGCATGAACAGTCTCTGTACCCACTGCCCAACCCAGGAATACTTTGGAGAGTGCAAATATATTGTTTGGAAAGGGAAATTATATAGAATTTATGAGGCAAAATTCTTAACAATTGGTAATAAAATGACACATTATTCAGTTGGAAGCAGGTGAAAGGAAATGGGAGAAAGATGTTTGTGAATCCTGCCCCCAACTTCCTAATAATAGGACTTTCTATTTAACCAGGCCTTATGTCTTTCTCAGGGGAGAAACATGTTCGAAGTTCATGAGAAAAAGTCTCACCATCCTTGCTTCTAAGGAATATTCAGGCTATACTTCTTTCAAGACAGTCCATGGTATATTCAGTATTCTTCACAAAATTCAAGTGTATCAATTCTTTTCTGATCTTCCTTATTTGTGGTCTAGTTTCACATACATAGGAGGTGATTGAAAATACGATTTGCATCAGACACACCTTAATCTTCAAAGTGATAACTTTAGTCTTTAAGTTTTACATTTGTGTCATATTTCCCCAGTATAATCCAATTTTTGATTTCTTTTTTTTGGACTGCTGCTTCCATGGGCAGTGATTTCGGATATAAGTAAGAAGCAATATTTGATAATTTCAATCTTTTCTCTATCATGGTATTATTTGCTCATCTAGATGTGAGAATTTTTGTTTTCTCTATATTAAGGTGTAATCCATACTGAAGGCTATAGTGTGATATCCATCTATATGCGCTTAAAATCATCTTTGCCTCAGCGAGCAAGATTGTGTCATCTGAATATGACTGGTTTTTAATGAACCATTCTTCAATCCTGATGCCATGTTCTTTTTCATATAGTCCAACTTTTTAGATGCCACTGCACTCAACATTTAGATTCCCCCCCCACACCCCGCCAGTTATCTCAGCTTTAGAAATACTGAGCTTCTTATATTTGCTCTTTCTTTCTTTCTCTCTCTCTTTTAATTCCAGGTCTTTATACATTTCTATAATTCATTATATTTTATTCCCGAACTTTCTTTTGAAATTTTCTGCTTAGCTCTATTACTTCATTTCTATCATCTACTTTAGCTTTTCTTATGTTCAAGAGCAAGTTTCAGAATCTCTTCTGATACTCATTTTCAACTTTTTTCATATTTCTTGTCTTTTTTAAAAAAGATCATTTTCTTGGGGGTTCTTACAGCTCTTATAACAATCCATACATCCATTGCACATTTGTTGCCATTATTATTTTCAAAACATTTTCTTTCTACTGGAACCTTTGGTATGTGCTCCTCATTTTTTAAAATTGGTTTATTAGGGCCTCATACAACTCTTATCACAATCCATACATACATCAATTGTGTAAAGCGCATTTGTACATTCATTGCCCTCATCATTCCCAAACCATTTGCTCTCCACTTAAGCCCCTGGCATCAGGTCCTCATTTTCCCCCTCCCTCCCCGCTCCCCCTCCTTCATGAACCCTTGATAATTTATAAATTATTATTTTGTCATATCTAAGCCTGTCCGACATCTCCCTTCGCCCACTTTTCTGTTGTCTGTCCCCCAGGGAGGAGAACACATGTAGATCCTTGTAATCAGTTCCCCATTTCCAACCCACTCTCCCTCTATGCTCCCAGTAGCGCCACTCACACCACCGGTCCTGAAGGGATCATTCACCCTGGATTCCCTGTGTTTCCAGCTCCTATCTGTACCAGTGTACATCCTCTGATCTAGCCAGATTTTCAAGGTAGAATTCTGAGTATGATGGTGGTAGTGGTAGTGGGGAAGCATTTAGGAATTAGAGGAAAGTTGTATTTCTCATTGTTGCTACATCGCACCCTGTCTGGCTTGTCTCCTCCCAGAGACCCCTCTGCAAGGGGATCTCCAGTGGCCTACAAATGGACTTTGGGTCTCCACTCCGCACTACCCCCCGTCATTCGCTATGGTAAGATTTTTTGTTCTGATGATGCCTGATACCTGATCCCTTCGACAACTTGTGATCGCACAGGCCAGTGTGCTTCTTCCATGAGGGCTTTGTTGCTTCTGAGCTAGATGGCCACTTGTTTACCTTCAAGCCTTTAAGACCCCAGACGCTATATCTTTTGATAGCCGGGCACCATCAGCTTTCTTCACCACATTTGCTTATGCACCTGCTTTGTCTTCAGCGGTTGTGCCGGGAAGGTGAGCATCATAGAATGCCAATTTAATAGAGGAAAATATTCTTGCATTGAGAGAGTACTTGAGTGGAGGCCCAATGTCCTTCTGCTACCTTAATACTAAACATATAAATATCTACACATAGATCTATTTCCCCATGCTCATATATAAATATATTTGCATTTGTACATGTCTTTATCTAGACCTATATAAATGCCATTTGCCTCCCAGCTCTTTTCTCTATTTCCCTTGACTTTCCTCCTGTCCCACTATCATGCTCAGTCCCCACCAGGGTTTCAGCAGTTCCTCTTTGTTACATTACCCTTGTCTTTTTAATGACCCTTTGCTTTCTACATGTTTAATTTTATTTTCTGGCTTTCTGTCAGGGTTCAGTGCATCAAGTCAGTTTTGAGATGGTCTCCAAATTCAGTGGGATACACTCAAGTTTGTGTTTTGCCTTTTGTGAGCTTGCTTTCATCTTCTTCAGCTTTTCCTGAACTTGCAAATGGGCAAGGAAGGGTCTCTTCTACAGTTAGCCCATCGTTGTCTGCCTGGCGATACTGAGTTTCTGTCACCTCTTTCCACAGCTGCAGCCCATTCACTTGCTGTGCATTTCATGTTGTGGTGTGCCCCTCTATAGTTACCATGTTCCTGAAAAAAAGAAATGAATAAGTAATTGAATTTGAAAAATGATGTATCATGTGACCTCCCGTGTCTATCACCAAGACCATATTTTCCAGTGACTGATCTTTCTTCTTTGTTTCCAAGTTTCGCATTCCAGTCACAGTTTAATCACCACTACACCTTGTTTATAGGTTTGATCAATTTCACATATCAGAAGTTGATATCATTCTTTAATTTTTCATCTTTGTCTTTAGTGATTGGTGTGTAATTTGAATAATAATCATATTAACAAATATTCCTTATAGGTATGTGAATATTAGCCTATCACTGACTGCATTGTACTTCAAGAAAGAAATGGGTTTTTTTGCCAATAAATGTGCACCATTTCTCTTCAGATTGTTTTTCTCAGCATAGTAAACCATATAATTGTTTGATTCAAAACGGTTAATACCAGCCTGGGTGGGATATTAATCTTTATGGGTTCCATTTCATTTTTTTATGACTCTCAATTTTTCTATATTCATAGTTCATACAGTTTATGTTCCAATTAATAATGGGTGTGTGTAGCTGTTTCTTCTCATTTTGAGTCATGTTGCAGTAAATGAAGGCCCTGAAAGCTCTCCTTTATCCACACCATTAAGACTGATGCTCTTTTGAGGAGGTAGCTATTCTTAGGTTGTATTTTTTTAAAAAAATAAGGAATGTTTCAACAATTTGCGTGTCATCCTTGTGCAGGGGCCATGCTAATCTTCTCTGTATCATTCCAATTTTAGTATATGGGCTCCCGAAGTGAGCACTCTTAGGTTGTATTTTGTGCCTTCAACTCTGAGAGGAACCTGTGGCATACTGGGCTGTGAGCTGGGCTGTTACTTGCAAGGTCAATTGTTTGAAGCCACCATCTGCTTGGTCAGAGGAAGATACTGTTTCCTTGGCTACCTCAGAACCCCCCAAGGAGCAGTCCTCCTCTGTCCTGTAGACTCAGTATGAGCTGACTGACTGGAGGTGGGTTTTCCCAACCTGAGGGGCTCTTCTTCTGGCCCTATAGCAGACAAGGCTTCACTGCTATTCATAAGGTGTTCCATGGGTATTTTTGGTATTGGTCGGCAAGCCTTTTCTCTTCTCTGGTCTGTTTCTGTCTGGAAGTTCTTCTGAAAGCTGTCCACCAAGAGTGATCCTGTTGGCATTGGAAATAGAGGTGACACAGATTTTAGTATCACAGCAACACACAGACCACTACAGTACAACACACTGACAGATGGGTGGTGGAGTTGCATGGTTTTCTTCAAAGGGGAATGAACAATAATAGCAACAAGTCATTCTCAGGCATACTGGAAAGCGAAGATTGAGTCCTGTATCTTTTAACATCTCCTCTTCCTGCCCTGAGTGGTAGCAGACACCAGTTGTCATTGCATCAGCTCTGACTCCAGACCAGCTCATGTGACTCGCAGGACACTTGTGCTCCATAGAGGGCTTTTAATGGGTACTGCTATGGGTGTAAATCAGGCAAGATGGTTAGATTTTCAAGCTACAAAGCCCATTAATTTCACATTTTCTGACCTTGACTTTCAAAGCACCACAGTGGAGGCATGCTTGCTGAAAATATTTGCAATCTTAAATAGTAGGAACACAAAATTTGTCTACTTACTCCTCAGTTATCTAGAATGTTCCATGATCAAGACTTCTAAAGTATTTTTTCAGTCCAGCTATGTTATTAGCCTGTGAAGGCAGGACTTGGTTCAAAGGCACAACTCCCAATTCCGTGGAGATTCCCTAGGATACAATGCATACAGGAGCAAACAATCTTAGTGAAGTAATTTATACTTAAAGAAGGGAGAGAGGGCATATCCTTTGCAAAATGCTGGAAAATGTAGACCAGTTAAATCAGTTGCTGCTGAATTGGCTTCAAGTCATAGAAACCCCACGTCAATCCCAGTGGAACTGCCCTCTATGGGGTTTTCAATGATTTTATGTATCACCAGGGCTGGCTCTGATCTCCAGCATTTCAGTTAGCAGCCATGTATGTTAATGGTCTACACCATCCTTGGATCCCACAATGTAGATGGAACTGAGTATGTTTTCTATAGGAGCACACCAGAGCTGTGGGTCACTTTCCCCCTCTTCATTTGACAGCTGTTTTAGAGAGAAACTACAACAAGAAAGGTTTTATGAGAACTTTCAAGATGGAAGCTTGTTTTTAGGATCTAGAGCAGACACTGGGATATGTTGTTGTTTTGCTTTGAAATGTGTGAGGGGAAAGGTGCTAGTCTTCCCCCTGCCCAACATCTAGCTTTTCCTTGACTTTTCAAAGTCAACTGACCAAATCAGCTTTGTCCAATTTAGGCTTCTTTTGAGACCCCACGAAGGGGCCCTGGTGGCCTAAAGGGTTATGTAGTGGACTGCTAACAGCAAGGTCAGCAGTTTGAAACCACCAGCTGCTGCATGGGAAAAAGATGAGGCTTTGTACTACTGTAAAGAGTTACAGTCTTGGACACCTGCAGGTGGCAGTTCTACTCTGCTTTATAGGGTCTCCATGAGTCAGAATTGGCAGCGAATTTGTTTTGAGACCCCAAAACACACCTGAGACTAAAATAGAGCAAGGGATAATCCCCAAAGGCTTAAGAGACTTCTGCCCATCACTGAAGCAAATATGAGACACACACATGCAGAGAGAGAGAGAGGGAGGGAGAGACAGACAGACATACTAGGGCACATACCACAGAGCACAGATACTGGCAGCCCCAGAGTGGAAGAAGGATGATTTTTTAGGAAGAGACTACATCTTGGAAACTGTTTTGGAAGGTTAGTCATTTATTTTAATTTAATTAGTTTCTTGTGTAAGACTCTGAATTTCTTTGAGGTTCTAAAGTTCGTTCAGGGTGAAGTTTCTGTCTTAGGGGATAGCAGTAGAAATATCAAGAGCCCTCTCATGGGAGGATAAAAACAATAAGAAAATGCAACTTTTATGAACTTCCCTACGGACTTCCTTGGGATATGGTGCCATCATAAACCTTAAGAAGTATAACAGCGTTAAATTAATTCTTTGGTTAAATAAGTATTTATTGAGTGTCTTGCAGGCACCCTGAGTTTGAATGAGAAAGGAGCCGATCATGGATCTCATGGAACTGACACCCTAGAAAAGGACACAGCCAATAAATAAGTAAACAGATAAAATGTTAACTTTACAATTTCAATTCGGTGATAAGACCTTCAAACAAACAAACAAACAAACAAACTAGAGTTTTGTGATAGAGAATGCCTTTGGGGGTGAAATTTTACTGGGTCTTCAAGAAGCTTCTGTGTGGAGATTACTGTTGCATGGAGGTAAGAAAGAGCCATTCAGGTAACCTTCTGGGGCAGGGAATGTAACAGGATAATAAAGTGACAGCTGCAAAGATTTTAGCAAGTTTGAGGAAGCAGAAGAAGATACACGTGATTGTTTAGTGAGAAAGAGGAGCTCCCTGGTAAGTCATGTATTTGAATAACTAAGCAAAAGGCACATCAATTAGGGGCTTGAGGGCCAATGAATGAGGTTTATATTTTGTTGGTGTGCATGAGTAAGGAGTAATGTAGATTAGGTTAAAGGACACTGGCTTCAGGAAGAGAACAAGGACAATTGATGGAAGGGCACACAGAGGAGACCGGCAGCTAGCTCTGTTCCAAGGCTTTTGCTTAAGAGTCAAAGCAAGAAACAATGGCCCGCAGTAGGGCGGGGATATCCTAGTGCATCAGGTGGGAGGGAGTTCAGGGTTTTCAGTACAGGTTATGTGAAGTCCTTGGGTTCAGAGAAAGAATATCAAGTGTGGTCAGGGCCAGCAGAAGACTGAATCAATTTGAGGCCCATGACTCTCTGGTCATCTTTACCACCAGGATGGGTCAAGGTTTGGGGTATCCATAATACTTCATTCCTTCAAAGGGAGTACCTTCCCATATTTGGTCACTGTTCAGAGATGAGGGAGCACCTTGATGTTGGGATGATTGAGAAAAGGACACAGGATACAAGGTCAAGTCCTCTATTTAATTAAAAGTGATCCAACTCTGGCCCAAACTTTCACGCTTGGTTCCGTCAAAGAGAACATATGCCACAAGTGCCCTTCAGCTCAGGAGGGAGTTTTTCAATTAGCAACCGGTAATTTGTTTTGGGGCGTACCACAGTATTCCTTTCACTAGCACGCTGTGGTACCAGAAATAACTCTGGTAGTTTGTTATACTCCCGTTCAGGTGTTAGCCCCGGTGAACTACTCCTTAACTCGGGTTCATCTTTAGTCACAGCCTTGGCCATCAACCTGTTCTATGTGTTACACAAGGGTGCATTTCATGGAAGGGTTCCGCTGCCAAACCCCATCAGGAAACTGCTGATATCATCTAAACTCTTGCTTGGCAGATGAGGAAAGTGAAGCTCAGAGAGAGTGACGTTCCTAAAATTGTGAAGTCAGTTAGTGCTGAGCCAAATGAGAACTACCTTTGTTCCAGTTGTTTTTTCTAACACAATACAGATGTTCAAACACGCTCTCCCCCAAACAACGTAGCACAAAACATCCGAAGACCCTGTTGGAAGAGAGCCCAGGTTGGTTTTGGAGAGTGTGAAAACTGTTCAGGTAGGTGTCCGTTTCCTCTCCTAAGGTATTTATTGTACCTCAGAGCTCAATGAGCTCAACCATTCCAGAGCACAAGCCCAGGGCAAAAAGCTTCAGCATCTGCTAGTGGAGTGATCCACGTTTCACAATGTCCAGGACAAGATTTGATAATAAGGCTTCTCCTTGCATGTAGACACAAAGAAATCATAGCACTTGAATGATGGGTGTGTTAAATATACAAAGGCAAATAAAATAACTCCCCTTGGTGCCCTGGAAGGCCTAAGGAGGGCAGGTGAGGCAGGAAGTCACATGCGAATGTGGCCTTGAGCTTGTCTCAGGGACAGAGATAATTACAGGGACCTGGCAACTCTGGGCCACAACTGGGTGGGGTTGCAACAGTTTTAGTGGTGTTCTGGTAAACATTTAACAGTTGACTCCAGGGGATGAGAGAAGCTTTGACTTGTGTTTGCCAATTCTGTATTACTGATACTCCCACATGGCAGATTTCAAACTGCCAAGGTGAAGTCTCTCAATGTGGAGTTGCTAAAAAGCAGACACAATGGCCTCCTCTAAGCGAGTGCTACCAGCTTTAGCATCACTGCGTGCCTTCCTTACTTCCACCTCTGGCTCTGGCTACTACCACAGACTGTTGAGAGACAGGCAGCAGGGGCCATAGTGGACCCAGGTTCTGTTTTCAAACCATTAGCTGCAGGAAATGTGCAGAATTGAACTTCACGCCTTACAAATGGCCATCTGTCTCTTACTTTTTCTAGAATGGATCTGGAAAAATCATTCTTTTCAACATCCACTACTGCCTCCATCAAGGTGCCCTGGCGGTGTCGTGATTACACATTGGGCTTCGATCCACAAGGTCAGCAGTTTAAAACCATCAGCCACTCCGGGGGAGAAAGATTGAGTTTTCTACCCCTATAGCAGTTCTACCCTGTCCTAGAGGGTCACTGTGAGTTAGCATTGGCTCAATGGTAGTGATTTTGTTTTGTTTTATTTTCAGTTTTTGGTTTACCGTCTCCATCATGTTTGGAGGTCTATCTGTGTGGTCTACTCAACTCCAACGGGAAGATAGACCCTCTCCCTATACGTGCCAGGAGAGCAAAAGGCTGACCTGGAGCCAATCTGAGAGATTTTATTATATTCAAAGGGCATTGCTTCATCCAGAGGGTTGGGCAGGAAAATTTCCATGCAAAAGTGTTGCTCTGGGGCTC